AAAAGTTTTATTATATTTCTGTCATTACTTTTCATTAAATATGTGAATTTTTGCAGGTTGGTAATGATTTCTTTGGGGAATAAAATATTGGAAATAAAATCATTTCTATCTGTTTGATATCGTGGGCAAACTAAAAGAAAGTGTAATTCGTCTTCGATCTCCTGTAATGGGCATTGTTTACAAATTCTATTTTCTAATGGGGTTTTTGGATTGGTATGTCTGCCTCGGGCATGTGCTAGATTGTGACTACTTGTCCTGAATCTAGTCAATGTGTCTATGATAGAGGGACTGTGCCTGTACCCTGTCTTTGGCTACTTCGAGTAAAATCTCCATGTCTGTATAGCTGCTACATTCCATAAGAAAATGAAATTCATCATCAATAAATCCCTTGTTATATGTGACACATTTAAATTCCATTATTGAGCGGGATGTGCCTATGGCCACCAGATTAAATTTTGAGATTTATGAAAATGGACCTAAAACAATTTTTTGTTAATTTGAATATGGGAAGTATATGAACAAAACTATGAATTTGAGAATGACAAAAAACAACAACAACAACAACAACAACAACAACAACTCTTTGTAATACATGTCACAGAAATGTTAAAATATGACAATAAAGGCAGACACACAGTTGGTTGTAAACACACTGAAACATGTATGTGAATAGAACAAATTCTGTAACCATGGAAACAACAAATCGTGATTACAGAAAATTGAAGGCAAAAACCCTCATCTTGGGCTGGAAAAAGATCAGTATTATCCCGGCATGATTTTGGAAAAGTCGTGAGAATTGTGGATGCTGCAATTAAGTGGTGCATTATTAACCTTTTCACCACCAGACTTCCGAACCCAAATTGTTACAGCACTTTTCCCTATATTCTTCAATATTTCTGGAAATGTACCCCAATTTTGGAGCCAACTGACAAAATTGGAGTTGATTTTCAGTTTTTACTCAAAAATTGGCTATTTTCATTCCAATTTTCTGAAGAAAAGTGCAGACTGTAAACAAGACTATTATGTGAATTTGTGATAAAAAGAGGGAACTATTGTTGAAAATGTTAAAATGAGTATTAGTGCTACTGTATGCACTGGCTTTCTGACGAAATACTTAAGTACGAGTAGATGATTTATTCAACACCTACAAATACTTTTTTTTTTTTTTTAATTTTGCAGTATATGTTACCATGGAAACGAGGATACAACACTTTCAGTTCATATCGACTCCAAGGTTTCACAGAAATACGATTGAACACATATTCAAATATTATTACACGAAGTTTCAATGACAATCCATCAACCAGTAGTATTTTGAAACGATGTAGTCTTGTGAGGACATTTAACTCGCATGCACTGAAAAGACAGACATTGCAGCAGTCTTCCAGTGCTGGGAGATACAATGTGAAAAGAAAATTATTATTATTTTTGTTAATATCAGTTCCGGCAACTGGACTGTTTGGTTATTTTTATCTTGAGGATGTGAAAAAACGACAAATCAGAGTGGCTGTTGAAGGTTTTGTGCGGTTCTGGAGGTAGGTGTCTGAATATAATACAAGTTCCTAGTTTTGATATGCACATTGTAGTTATGCAAATTGAAGTTAATAAATGGTGCCAACAAAAGTTGATTGTGAACACTGCTTTCAAAATTGTAATATTTCTAGAAAAACTACGTTCAACTTTGTAATACTTCTGGGAAAACTACTTTCAGCTTCGTAATATTCCTAGGAAAACTACTTTCAACATTGTAATATTTCTGGAAAAACTACTTTCAACATTGTAATATTTCTGGAAAAACTACTTTCAACTTTGTAATACTTCTGGGAAAACTACTCTCAACATTGTAATATTTCTGGAAAACTACTTTAACATTGTAATATTCCTGGGAAAACTACTTTCAGCTTCGTAATATTCCTAGGAAAACTACTTTCAACATTGTAATATTTTTGGAAAAACTACTTTCAACTTTGTAATACTTCTGGGAAAACTACTCTCAACATTGTAATATTTCTGGGAAAACTACTTTTACCATTGTAATATTCTTTTGAAAACTACTTTGAACTTGTAATACTTCTGGGAAAACTACTTTTACCATTGTAATATTCATTGGAAAACTACTTTAAACTTGTAATACTTCTGGGAAAACTACTCTCAACATTGTAATATTTCTGGAAAAACTACTTTCAACTTTGTAATACTTCTTGGAAAACTACTTTTAACATTGTAATATTCCTTTGAAAAACAACTTTCAACTTGTAATACTTCTGGGAAAACTACTTTGAACTTGTAATACTTCTGGGAAAACTACTTTTAACATTGTAATATTCCTTGGAAAACTACTTTAAACTTGTAATATTCCTGGGAAAACTACTCTCAACATTGTAATACTTCTGGGAAAACTACTTTCAACTTTGTAATACTTTTGGGAAAACTACTTCAACATTGTCAACCAGAGTTGCATACATAATTCACATTTACTCCAGAATTATGATGAAACATACATGTATTTCTTGAATGTGATATATTTCATGAAAGATATTCAGTACTGTGCCTTTAATTTGTGACACCGATCTATTTACATGGGAAAAGTTCAATGTTTTTTAATATGATTGTGCACTTTAGTCTTTTCCTGTTGTGTTCAACAATAACGTGATGTTTTATTTCTAGGTGCTTATACATAGGTATGGGTATATCTTTAGATTATTGGTGGTCGCTACAAGGGTTAGTGGAGGTAAAAACTGCTTTCATATTTACAAATCAGTTAATTGTCATGGCAACAACATGCTTTAACATGTGTCAGTATCTGCTCTATAATAGTGGCAACCAACTCATCATAAATTGTCATTATTGCATACAAAGTCATATATCTTCGTAACTTTTGCTCCAAGTTCACGATCATAGAGTATTTGGGGGGGGATTGATTTTCGGTCATAAACATTGTTTGTTCTTTTGTAATGATGATGTATACGGTGTCGTATATGCATATTATTTTGAGAACACATTTTGTTGCCATGGGAGATGAATTATCAGCATAAAGGTTGCTGAAAGTGAGAATCAAGCTGAACACACTTTCTAATGGTTATCATATAATTTTTGCTTCTCTAGGGTACAAAAGCATACTCCAATGCAATGCGTGGTTGTCACCAGAGATCAGCCGACAAGCTCGTAGATGCGTGCATGAAAAATGGCGGACTGTATGTAAAATTAGGACAAGGGATTGTCTCTATGAATCACATTCTTCCCAAGGAATATACAGAGACGCTAACAATTCTGCAGGACAAAGCACTGGTCAGGCAGTATAAAGAGGTATGTCTGTCTTTTACATCTTCTCTATTTTACATGATATCAAAGATTTTAATGAAAATATGAATTTAAAAAAATAAATTCGTTGTATGCCGAATACTGTGTCCACTTTAATTTTGAGTTTTGTACAATTATGAAAGAGTATCGGTTATTTTGTCACTAGTGATATTTCAGTTACTTTTAATTGGTTCTCATTGAATAGATAGTGAACATTTCTAGCAGCAAAATATAATGTTTCAATTTCCTGATTAGAAAAAATATATATTCAGTATTATCAGAGGTACATTACTTGGGGTTTGCAACGCGCATAGTACTGTATGGTGACATCATGCCAAGATCCCATTCAAGTCTCATCTCGTAGATAGTGAGACTGATGCTACTACCTTCTGACATGACATAGGCGGTTTGTAATAAAACAATAAAACATGTATTACCACATTCATAGTGAAAAAATGTAATACATCGATAATGTACAGAAAATATAGTTATCGTAATCTGTCATATCGTGAGCAGCTATTTTGATCCACCTGGACATCTGTGCCTTTGCATTTTTCTGAGTTGGAACGCTTATGCGAGAGCGAGATTGTAACTGGATCTTGGTATCATATCACCGTAGTTGCTAACACCAAGTATTGTACCTTTGGTGTTATATTCACATTAAACTGATATACTTGTCAGATATGTTTGATATGGATTCAATTCATTTATTCATTCATTCATTCATTGGGTACAACTCAAATAAAATGCATTATTTGCACAAAGTGTTAAAATGCATGGCAAAACAACTGTATTTCGCCACCTCACGTCGATTACTATCCTTGGAGGAAGCACATTAACAGGAACTGAAATCAGCGCAGTATCATGGATAACTTTTATTTCACTGTTGCCATGGACAATCATTATTTCTTTGCATTCATCCTCAGATCGATAGATTATTTCGAGAAGACTTTGGTAAGACTGTCGATGAGATCTTTGTGGATTTTGAACAGCATCCGATTGCGGCTGCTAGTCTAGCTCAAGTACACCGAGCGAAAACGAAGAATGGCGATGAAGTGGCTGTAAAAGTAAGTATCATGCAGAAATTTTAATCTCTGCTGTGTTTGTCTTTGGCAGTTGATTCTAATGATGTTGTCATTACCAACACTTCATGAACTCTGAACCATCCATGTAATACACCATAGGGTATATTATGGGATGTGCCACTTGACTAATGGCAGTCTGGAGGACAGCTGAGCTTTGCTGATACCCTGGTGTACATGTAATGAGCACACTGTGTGGTTCGTGAGTCACACCTGGCTATTCATACTCTTCATCTAAGTGTGTACAGTGTGGTCTAGAAATAGTTACACCACATAGTGGGACAAAATACAGCTTCTTTTATACCTTATTGCTAATGACTTCTGAAAATAACTGCAAAATAAATGGTCAAATAACTTTCTTTTTCTTATAGGTACAGTATATTGATTTACGAGACCGTTACCATAGCGACCTCTGGACGTTAGAAATTCTATTTGATATTATTGAGTGGATGCATCCATCATTCGGATTCCGCTGGGTTCTTAAGGTGATTTTTGTTGTTACATTTTAGTTACCATTGAATAAATGTATTGGCTGTAATTAATTCTGTATCCCTACCTGTTTAAAAAGCATTGTATGAATTTAACACCTTGCTTTCCTTGCTAATTAATGTATTTTTTCATTGTGTCCCAAAATTTGGAAGCAATGATGGGTTGAAAGATGATAATTTTGCTTTGCACAGTGTTTTGAATGTAGTTGATTTATGTGCTTCAGTCAATATAGGACGCCCTCGTTTCTGAGGTATTCATAACTGGCTATTGTTATGGTGAAAAAACTGGACAGTATTGTGATTATTTATCTAGTGTGTCATTAAAGTGTCGGACATTATCAGGGATTTCAAAATTTTGATGTTTATCTGTTTCAATGACAGTGATACCTTTACTGTATCTATGAAAGGTCGTTGATCAGTTTGAAGAGCGCCATCTAGTGATGACAAGTTGTTATTAATTG